GTTATCTGAGTGGAGGTTTAAAACCCTCGTTATCTGAGTGGAAGTTTAAAACCCCCGTTATCTGAATGGAGGTTTAAAACCCCCGTTATCTGAGTGAAGGTTTAAAACCCCCGTTATATGAGTGGAGGTTTAAAACCCTTGTTATCTGAGTGGAGGTTTAAAACCCCCGTTATCTGAATGGAGGTTTAAAACCCCCGTAATCTGAGTGAAGGTTTAAAACCCCCGTTATATGAGTGGAGGTTTAAAACCCTCGTTATCTGAGTGGAGGTTTAAAACCCCCGTTATCTGAGTGGAGGTTTAAAACCCTCGTTATCTGAGTGAAGGTTTAAAACCCCCGTTATCTGAGTGAAGGTTTAAAACCCCCGTTATCTGAGTGAAGGTTTAAAACCCCCGTTATCTGAGTGAAGGTTTAAAACCCTCGTTATCTGAGTGGAGGTTTAAAACCCTCGTTATCTGAGTGGAGGTTTAAAACCCTCGTTATCTGAGTGGAGGTTTAAAACCCTCGTTATCTGAGTGGAGGTTTAAAACCCTCGTTATCTGAGTGGAGGTTTAAAACCCTCGTTATCTGAGTGGAGGTTTAAAACCCTCGTTATCTGAGTGGAGGTTTAAAACCCTCGTTATCTGAGTGGAGGTTTAAAACCCTCGTTATCTGAGTGGAGGTTTAAAACCCTCGTTATCTGAGTGGAGGTTTAAAACCCTCGTTATCTGAGTGGAGGTTTAAAACCCTCGTTATCTGAGTGGAGGTTTAAAACCCTCGTTATCTGAGTGGAGGTTTAAAACCCTCGTTATCTGAGTGGAGGTTTAAAACCCTCGTTATCTGAGTGGAGGTTTAAAACCCTCGTTATCTGAGTGGAGGTTTAAAAAACCCTCGTTATCTGAGTGGAGGTTTAAAACCCTCGTTATCTGAGTGGAGGTTTAAAACCCTCGTTATCTGAGTGGAGGTTTAAAACCCTCGTTATCTGAGTGGAGGTTTAAAACCCTCGTTATCTGAGTGGAGGTTTAAAACCCTCGTTATCTGAGTGGAGGTTTAAAATGGTAGATTTATTTACTAATGGATTAAATTACACTGTTACGGTTTTTTAAGTTTTGCCCCGAGGGGCGAGTTTATTGGGCAGCGTCACTCATCCTGTGAGTGGACACACCACCATAGTGACAGTATTGGGCAGCGTCACTCATCCTGTGAGTGGACACACCACCATAGTGACAGTATTGGGCAGCGCCACTCATCTTGTGAGTGGACACACCACCATAGTGACAGTATTGGGCAGCGTCACTCATCCTGTGAGTGGACACACCGCCATAGTGACAGTATTGGGCAGCGTCACTCATCCTGTGAGTGGACACACCACCATAGTGACAGTATTGGGCAGCGTCACTCATCCTGTGAGTGGACACACCATAGTGACCATAGTGACAGTATTGGGCAGCGTCACTCATCCTGTGAGTGGACACACCACCATAGTGACAGTATTGGGCAGCGTCACTCATCCTGTGAGTGGACACACCACCATAGTGACAGTATTGGGCATCATCCTGTGAGTGGACACACCACCATAGTGACAGTATGGGCAGCGTCACTCATCCTGTGAGTGGACACACCACCATAGTGACAGTATTGGGCAGCGCCACTCATCCTGTGAGTGGACACACCACCATGTGACAGTATTGGGCAGCGTCACATCCTGTGAGTGGACCACCACCATAGTGACAGTATTGGGCAGCGTCACTCATCCTGTGAGTGGAACACACCATAGTGACCATACTCATCCTGTGACAGTATATTGGGCAGCGCCACTCATCCTGTGAGTGGACACACCACCATAGTGACAGTATTGTGAGTGGAGCGTCACAGTGACACACCGCCATAGTCAGCGTCACTCATCCTGTGAGTGGACACACCGCCATAGTGACAGTATGGGCAGCGCGTCACTCATCCTGTGAGTGGACACACCACCATAGTGACAGTATTGGGCAGCGTCATCCTGTGAGTGGACACACCGCCATAGTGACAGTATTGGGCAGCGTCACTCATCCTGTGAGTGGACACACCGCCATAGTGACAGTATTGGGCAGCGTCACTCATCCTGTGAGTGGACACACCGCCATAGTGACAGTATTGGGCAGCGTCACTCATCCTGTGAGTGGACACACCGCCATAGTGACAGTATGGGCAGCGCCACTCATCCTGTGAGTGGACACACCGCCATAGTGACAGTATTGGGCAGCGTCACTCATCCTGTGAGTGGACACACCGCCATAGTGACAGTATTGGGCAGCGCCACTCATCCTGTGAGTGGACACACCGCCATAGTGACAGTATTGGGCAGCGTCACTCATCCTGTGAGTGGAGCACTCATCCGCCATAGTGACAGTATTGGGCAGCGTCACTCATCCTGTGAGTGGACACACCGCCATAGTGACAGTATTGGGCAGCGTCACTCATCCTGCACACCGCCATAGTGACAGTATTGGGCAGCGTCACTCATCCTGTGAGTGGACACACCGCCATAGTGACAGTATTGGGCAGCGCCACTCATCCTGTGAGTGGACACACCGCCATAGTGACAGTATTGGGCAGCGTCACTCATCCTGTGAGTGGACACACCGCCATAGTGACAGTATTGGGCAGCGTATTGGGCACTCATCCTGAGTGGAGCCATAGTGACAGTATTGGGCAGCGCCACTCATCCACACCGCCATAGTGACAGTATTGGGCAGCGCCACTCATCCTGTGAGTGGACACACCGCCATAGTGACAGTATTGGGCAGCGCCACTCATCCTGTGAGTGGACACACCGCCATAGTGACAGTATTGGGCAGCGCCACTCATCCTGTGAGTGGACACACCCGTCATAGTGACAGTATTGGGCAGCGTCACTCACCTTGTGAGTGGACACACCGCCATAGTGACAGTATTGGGCAGCGCCACTCATCCTGTGAGTGGACACACCGCCATAGTGTACAGCGTATTGGGCAGCGTGACAGTATTGGGCACTCATCATCTGTGAGTGGACACACCGCCATAGTGACAGTATTGGGCAGCGCCACTCATCCTGTGAGTGGACACACCGCCATAGTGACAGTATTGGGCAGCGTCACTCATCCTGTGAGTGGACACACCGCCATAGTGACAGTATTGGGCAGCGCCACTCATCCTGTGAGTGGACACACCGCCATAGTGACAGTATTGGGCAGCGCCACTCATCCTGTGAGTGGACACACCGCCATAGTGACAGTATTGGGCAGCGCCACTCATCCTGTGAGTGGACACACCGCCATAGTGACAGTATTGGGCAGCGTCACTCATCTTGTGAGTGGACACACCGCCATAGTGACAGTATTGGGCAGCGTCACTCATCTTGTGAGTGGACACACCGCCATAGTGACAGTATTGGGCAGCGCCACTCATCTTGTGAGTGGACACACCGCCATAGTGACAGTATTGGGCAGCGCCACTCATCCTGTGAGTGGACACACCGCCATAGTGACAGTATTGGGCAGCGCCACTCATCCTGTGAGTGGACACACCGCCATAGTGACAGTATTGGGCAGCGCCACTCATCCTGTGAGTGGACACACCGCCATAGTGACAGTATTGGGCAGCACCACTCATCCTGTGAGTGGACACACCGCCATAGTGACAGTATTGGGCAGCGCCACTCATCTTGTGAGTGGACACACCGCCATAGTGACAGTATTGGGCAGCGTCACTCATCTTGTGAGTGGACACACCGCCATAGTGACAGTATTGGGCAGCGCCACTCATCCTGTGAGTGGACACACCGCCATAGTGACAGAATTGGGCAGCGCCACTCATCTTGTGAGTGGACACACCGCCATAGTGACAGTATTGGACAGCGCCACTCGTCCTGTGAGTGGACACACCGTCATAGTGACAGTATTGGGCAGCGCCACTCATCCTGTGAGTGGACACACCGCCATAGTGACAGTATTGGGCAGGGCCACTCATCCTGTGAGTGGACACACCGCCATAGTGACAGTATTGGGCAGCGCCACTCATCCTGTGAGTGGACACACCGCCATAGTGACAGTATTGGGCAGCGCCACTCATCCTGTGAGTGGACACACCGCCATAGTGACAGTATTGGGCAGCGCCACTCATCCTGTGAGTGGACACACCGCCATAGTGACAGTATTGGGCAGCGCCACTCATCCTGTGAGTGGACACACCGCCATAGTGACAGTATTGGGCAGCGCCACTCATCCTGTGAGTGGACACACCGCCATAGTGACAGTATTGGGCAGCGCCACTCATCCTGTGAGTGGACATACCGCCATAGCAGCATGTACAACACTCTCCAATAGGAAGAAAACCCGCTGGGTTGTTCATCCTGTCACTTGTACCCAGACACAGCTGGGACTTGCTTAACTGTCTCAAGTGAACAGCTCCTCAAACAAGAAGATTAACATCTGTCAACCCTTAAACTTCCAGAAATTCAATATTTGCAATGATGTTGAATAGTACATAATATGACATACATACATACATAATATGACATGCATACATAATATGACCAAAATTAATATACTAATAGAAGAAAAAACGAACTCTGCACCTTCCGTAGTTTTGTCAAGTCTTTGGCAAGACATAGTGACTAATATGAGTCACTCTGCGTTCTGGGACTTGCTGGGAGAGTTTGTGGTTACTGTGGTAGGCCTAGTGTCGGGTCCCATGTTCAGTACACTTTTTTTTTTTTTTTTTTTGAGATATATACAAGAGTTGTTACATTCTTGTACAGCCACTAGTACGCGTAGCGTTTCGGGCAAGTCCTTAATCCTATGGTCCCTGGAATACGATCCCCTGCCGCGAAGAATCGTTTTTTCATCCAAGTACACATTTTACTGTTGCGTTAAACAGAGGCTACAGTTAAGGGATTGCGCCCAGTAAATCCTCCCCGGCCAGGATACGAACCCAAGACATAGCGTTCGCGGAACGCCAGGCGAGTGTCTTACCACTACACCACGGAGACTTTGCCCTAATGGCCGCCTCCCCCTTCCCTGCGGGCGTCATCTCCAGGTGCGAATTAGATGAAGAGGATAAGAATCAAGGATAAGGATCAAGAATTAGATAAGGAGGGTTTTGTGTAGTATATTGTTATTAAATGTATCATTGATATTTTATTAGGTAACCAACTCTGTGACTGGCGGGTTTCATAATAAATTAGCCAGAAACGTTAGAGAACGAGACGTAGTCTACCCAGGATATATTAAGTCCGTTTTCTGTGACTTTTTATGACTAACTGATGTATTTATGTCATTCTTGAACTAAAGCAAATTAACAGCATTTCGTGGCTGTTCGTTTCATTATACTTTTTATATTTGATGTGGGAATTTCCCCCACACACCCCGTCATCTGAGAAAGGATTTTAAAACCCCAATCATCTGTGAAGGGGTTTAAACCCCCGTCATCTATGAAGGGGTTTAAACCCCCGTCATCTATGAAGGGGTTTTAAAGCCCCATCATCTGAATGGAAATTTTAAACCCCCATTATCTGAGTGAAGGTTTTATATACCCCCGTTATCTAATTAAAGGCTTTAAACCCCACTCATGTGATTGGAGGGTTTTCATCGGAAGCGCCGTGTGCGGACACTAACAAGCTAAACCTCTTTAAAAACACAAATTTCTCCTTGCGGTTAGCTTCGTTCTCGACTCACACCCCAGGGTTGGATTACCCAGCGGGACGAAAATGGTTGGGCACGTTTCTTTTCACCTCATGTCTCTGTTCATCTGTCAGTAAATTGGTACCCGGGAGTTAGGTAACTGTTGTGGGGAGAAGGGTGACCGAGGCCTGGTCGACGACCGGGCCGCGGGAACACTAAGCCCCGGAAGCACCTCAAGGTAACCTCAAGGAGGGAAGTGTGAGCAAGAGAGGGAGGGAGGAGAGGAAGTGTGATGATGGAGTGTGGGTCTTGGCGGCTCAGGGGAGTATTGTGTATCAATTAACTCTGTCACAATATTGACCCTCCGGGCTCAGTGACCACGTCCCCGGGGAGTGCCGGGGTTATGGGGGGTGGGTGGGGGGTCGTATCCCCCTCTCACCCCCTCCCCACACACATGACCAAACAACACAATGGGAAAAAACGAAGTTATAACAATAATTATTACAATACCTCAATAATTTAAAATATATAGAAAATAGAAATGCACAAAGAAATCACATTAAGATGATGTGTCAATGAGAACATTAGTTGGAGCGTCGAGGAGAAGTCAGTGAAACCCTGATATGACTTCAGTGGAACCCTAGAGGATTCAGTTGACTGCCAGGTTGCAATGTTTTTACCATGTTGTGGTCTAGGGCCCGGGTCATCAGCCTGTAGTCCTGTGGACCGGTCAACCGTAGCCTGTAACTATGTACTTACAGGTTTTACTGTTGATTCTGGAATAGTTTGGGCATGTTTATAATTCATCAGGGAGTGATGAATTATAAAGCTCATGGGCTCTATTACACCTGTCAACGAAAGGTTTCAGATCAAGATTAGCATTTATGAACAAGGTTTTGTACATGTAGATAGCACATAAGAATGTGTGGAGTGAGTGTATGTTTAGCATGTTAAGGGACCTAAACAGAGGGGCTGTGTGTTGTCTGGAGACAGAGTTTGTTATGGTCCTGATAGCAGATTTTTGCCGAGTGATTGAGGTAATTTGCTTGAGGTAAATTTGCAGTGGCTTGAGGTAGTTTGAGGTAATTTGCAGTGGCTTGTTAAATTTGCAGTGGCTTGTTAAATTTGCAGTGGCTTGTTAAATTTGCAGTGGCTTGTTAAATTTGCAGTGGCTTGTTAAATTTGCAGTGGCTTGTTAAATTTGCAGTGGCTTGAGGTATTTGAGGTGGCTTAAGGTGAGGTCTTGAGGTAATTTGCAGTTATCTTGAGGTTATCTTGAGATGATTTCGGGGCTTTTAGTGTCCCCGCGGCCCGGTCCTCGACCAGGCCTCCACCCCCAGGAAGCAGCCCGTGACAGCTGACTAACACCCAGGTACCTATTTTACTGCTAGATAACAGGAGCATAGGGTGAAAGAAACTCTGCCCATTGTTTCTCGCCGGCGCCTGGGATCGAACCCAGGACCACAGGATCACAAGTCCCGCGTGCTGTCCGCTCGGCCGACCGGCTCCCTGCTAAGGGAAAGAATGATGCCAAAGCATTTGGATGGTCGGGGATTGAACGCGGACCTGCATGACGCGAGACCGTCGCTCTACCATCCAGCCCAAGTGGTTGGGCTGGATGCAGTGGTTGAACCCAATGCACAGATACCGTATGTAAGATAGAGGTAGATTAGCACGTCGTATAATGAGAGGGGAACATAATACCAGATTTTAGAGGGTATACCGACTATTTTTTCATCTTTTTTGACTGTGTGTTGAATGTGGTTGCTGAAGTTCAGTCTCTTGTGTATGTATAGGCCAAGGAACTTTCCCTCATTTTTAATGCTGATGTTAACATTGTTTATCTCAAGTTGAATTTGGTTTAATGATTTACTTCCAAATAAAATGTTGTAGGTCTTTATGTTTAGTGTGAGTTTGTTGGTTGACATCTAAAAGGACTTTTTTTAAAATTCGTTATTTACATTATTATTTAGTGTTTGTGGGGGTTGGGGTCAGAATAGATGATGGAAGTATCGTCAGCAAATAATATAGGTTTAAGAATGATATAAACATCTGGCAAATCATTGATGTATATAAGAAATAGGAGGGATCCTAAGATGATGCCCTGTGGCACCCCTACTGTCAATGGTAGAGTGGGGGAGAATATGCAATTGATGGCTATATATTGGTGACTGTCACTAATATAGGAACGAATATAGTCCAGAGTAAGGCCTTGGATACCATAGTGGTGAAGATTGAGTAAGAGGTAGTTATGGTTTATGTAATTAAAGGCCTTTCTCAGGTCAATAAAGAGGCCAATAGGGAACTAATTTTTTTGTCAAGGGCTGAGTAGATTATATTAAGCAGACTAATAATGGCATCATTGATGCTCTTTTGGGAACGGAAGTCAAACTGGCAGGGATTTCTTCTTTTCAAAAAATCTTCAATTTTCTTTCTTCCTGATTTTTTCAACTTTAAATTTTCTTTCTTTTCAAAATCTTCAATTTTACAAGGTACGAGTTGAGCTATTTTTAAAAAAAAATTTCAAATATTTTTGATGGTATCAGTGGATTTCATGTTGGTCTGTACTCCTATTACCCACGCCAGCCGTCACCCACACCAGCCGTCACCCACGCCAGCCGTCACCCACGCCAGCCGTCACCCACGCCAGCCGTCACCCACGCCAGCCGTCACCCACGCCAGCCGTCACCCACGCCAGCCGTCACCCACGCCAGCCGTCACCCACGCCAGCCGTCACCCACGCCAGCCGTCACCCACGCCAGCCGTCACCCACGCCAGCCGTCACCCACGCCAGCCGTCACCCACGCCAGTCACCCACGCCAGCCGTCACCCACGCCAGCCGTCACCCACGCCAGCCGTCACCCACGCCAGCCGTCACCCACGCCAGCCGTCACCCACGCCAGCCGTCACCCACGCCAGCCGTCACCCACGCCAGCCGTCACCCACGCCAGCCGTCACCCACGCCAGCCGTCACCCACGCCAGCCGTCACCCACGCCAGCCGTCACCCACGCCAGCCGTCACCCACGCCAGCCGTCACCCACGCCAGCCGTCACCCACGCCAGCCGTCACCCACGCCAGCCGTCACCCACGCCAGCCGTCACCCACGCCAGTCGTCACCCACGCCAGCCGTCACCCACACCAGCCGTCACCCACACCAGTCGTCACCCACACCAGCCGTCACCCACACCAACCATCACCCACACCGGGTTGTCAACGTGGTATCTTTACATTTTGATGTTTCATGGTGATGTTCACTGGAGCAGTGTTGAGGGCGAGGGAGCAGGTGATAACGGTTATCCCGGGCGAGATTACACAACTCTGATGGCCAGGGGCCAGATTCACGAAAGCACTTACGCAAGCACTTACGAACGTGTCCATTTTTCCACAATCTTTGACGGCTTTGGTTACATTTATTAGACAGTTTACAAGTATGAAAACTTGCCAATCAACTGTTGTTATTGTTATAAACAGCCTCCTGGTGCTTCGGAGCTCATTAACTGTTTAATAATTGTAAACAAAGCCGCCAAAGATTGAGAAAAGATGTACAGGTTCGTCAGTGTTTGCGTAACTGCTTCGTGAATCTGGCCCAAGATCTTCCTCTTGACTCAATCACAATGAAGCATTAATATAGTCGACGAAAATGTGGTGTAAATTTAATATATTAAGCTTCTCTGTTCCAACACTCAGTGTAGCAGAATGAAGAAGATACCACAAATAAATCACTATACCAAACATATATAATCTTTTATCTCAACTGTTATCAAGAGAGATGATATGGTGTTTGTTTACAAGTAATGAAGTTGGCGCGTCAGAGGCGCGAGAGCTCACTAGGCTACTGCTGTCTCCCTCTGCCGCAGTAAACATATATATTGTGAACATTTAAGAAACGTCTACCAACATTTATTTATGGAAAGAAGTTGTGTATTTTTTTTACCATGATATGTTGAAAAATTTCGAATGAGTTTATAGAGGATTTTGACATTTTTTTGGTCGGATTTTATTGGATATTGTCGATCAGGCTATATTTACGGTGAATTGCAATATGTGTGGAATTTGCGATCTTTATTAACTCTAAAGTTATGTGATGAGTAACCTGTTTATTGTAACTTCTATTGTACGGTGTACAGTAGCGAGTGACTGAGGAAACATCACAGTACGGTGCAAGGAACAACACATGACTGAAGCACCATGGCTGCACTAAGGATTCAACGTCTCATGTACGTTGTGGGATTTTTGGTAAGTGACAAACTAGGATGGCTGGTTACAGCATGGCGGGAAATGTGCACTATTAGTCAGCATACCTAGCATTACAGTGTGCACCATTAGTCAGCATACCTAGCATCAGTGTGCACTATACCTAGCATTACAGTGTGCACTATTAGTCAGCATACACAGCATCACAGTGTGCACAGCATACACAGCATTACAGTGTGCACCATTAGTCAGCATACCTAGCATTACAGTGTGCACTATTAGTCAGCATACACAGCATCACAGTGTGCACCATTAGTCAGCATACCTAGCATTACAGTGTGCACTATTAGTCAGCATACACAGCATCACAGTGTGCACCATTAGTCAGCATACACAGCATTACAGTGTGCACCATTAGTCAGCATACACAGCATTACAGTGTGCACTATTAGTCAGCATACCTAGCATTACAGTGTGCACTATTAGTCAGCATACACAGCATCACAGTGTGCACCATTAGTCAGCATACCTAGCATCACAGTGTGCACCATTAGTCAGCATACACAGCATTACAGTGTGCACCATTAGTCAGCATACATAGCATCAAAGTGTGCACTATTAGTCAGCATACACAGCATCACAGCGTGCACCATTAGTCAGCATACCTAGCATTACAGTGTGCACCATAAGTCAGCATACCTAGCATTACAGTGTGCACTATTAGTCAGCATACCTAGCATTACAGTGTGCACTATTAGTCAGCATACCTAGCATTACAGTGTGCACCATTAGTCAGCATACACAGCATTACAGTGTGCACCATTAGTCAGCATACACAGCATCACAGTGTGCACCATTAGCCAGCATACACAGCATCACAGTGTGCACCATTAGCCAGCATTCTCAGCATCACAGCGTGCACCAAGTCAGCATACACAGCATCACAGCGTGCACTATTAGTCAGCTTACACAGCATCACAGTGTGCACTATTAGTCAGCATACACAGCATCACAGTGTGCACCATTAGTCAGCATACACAGCATCACAGCGTGCACCATTAGTCAGCATACACAGCATCACAGTGTGCCCCATTAGCCAGCATTCTCAGCATCACAGCGTGCACCAAGTCAGCATACACAGCATCACAGCGTGCACCAAGTCAGCATACACAGCATCACAGTGTGCACTATTAGTCAGCATACACAGCATGCACCATTAGTCAGCATACACAGCATCACAGCGTGCACCATTAGTCAGCATACACAGCATCACAGCGTGCACCAAGTCAGCATACACAGCATCACAGCGTGCACCAAGTCAGCATACACAGCATCACAGCGTGCACCAAGTCAGCATACACAGCATCACAGCGTACACTATTAGTCAGCATACAAAGCATCACAGTGTGCACCAAGTCAGCATACACAGCATTACAGTGTGCACCATTAGTCAGCATACACAGCATCACAGTGTACACTATTAGTCAGCATACAAAGCATCACAGTGTGCACCAAGTCAGCATACAGAGCATTACAGTGTGCACCATTAGTCAGCATACACAGCATCACAGTGTGCACCAAGTCAGCATACACAGCATCACAGCGTGCACCAAGTCAGCATGCACAGCATTGCAATAAATCCCTGACATTTGAGGCCGCCCTCTGATAAGTAAGCCAAGGGCACCCCAGTCCACAGCAGTGGTGAAATAACCACACCTTATGACACAGGTACTCAAGCCACCAACGGTACTTTAAATATTTGACAATGTGATTACTATTGCCTAGCTAAACATAATATACAAGTCCCTTCCAGTTTGTGTTCAGAACCCTAAAGATCACCCCTGATGTTGTCATATATATGTATGGCTTGACACACTCAGCAACACTATTTATAAATAAATAAATATGTTTATTCAGGTAAGGTACATACATACAAGTGATGTTACATTAATGGATTGATATATAGATAGAGGTAGTACATACAATGCCTAAAGCCACTATTACGCAATGCGTTTCGGGCAAAATTTGTTAATTTTCGATAGGTCTTTAACGCATACAGAATAACCTTAATATTTTATTCACACAATATGAATATGATATGAACAGATATGAACAATGCTACATAGAATGCATCAGAGTGGAGTGAGGTGTCTCTCCCTCCAAAACATGATCTTATCTCAGTAACAAAACTGGTTTCGTAAATGATGCTACTTCTCCCAATCTGTGAATTAATATTGGAATTTCATAGAGTAGCATACATGGACCACTCTTCTCACATGAGCCCGTCTTCAGGGTGAAGTGATTACCAGGAGGCATTAAACCTATTATCACACCAACTCGATAGTTATCTAGATATTTGTGATGGTCTGTAAGCATATTATGATTACAATGATAGCCTATTTATAAACTGAGAAGTGAACCTTTGTCCTAAGCAGAGAATATTCTCAAGTTATAACTTTATTGTATTATATATAGTTAATTGAAATTATATGCCTTTGCTTAACTGTAATTGTATAGTGTTTTTTATGATTATTATTATTATTTTTTACAAGAGTTCTTACATTCTTGTACAGACACTAGCATGCGTAGCGTTTTGGGCAAGTCCTTAATCCTTAATGTTCCCCGGAATACGACCCCACAAATCGTTTAACAACCAGATACCCATTTTATTTTACGAGCTTTTTAGGTCTGGTTTAGACTTAGGAGCTTGTTTGTGTAACGTTCTTTTTGCTTGACCAAACGCGACATCCAAGAATGATTTTGGGTATTTTAACTTCTTCCCAATTTCAAATATTTTCGTTATTACTTCATAAAAAGATTCCGAGCTGCAAATTGCAAAAGAAAAAAAAAAAAACCAGCAAAAACCCTAGATTTTACCCTCGATTTGGTGTGGTATGGGTACGTTATCTTGAGGTTATCTTGAGATGATTTCGGGGCTTTAGTGTCCCCGCGGCCCGGTCCTCGACCAGGCCTCCACCCCCAGGAAGCAGCCCGTGACAGCTGACTAACTCCCAGGTACCTATTTACTGCTAGGTAACAGGGGCATTCAGGGTGAAAGAAACTTTGCCCATTTGTTTCTGCCTCGTGCGGGAATCGAACCTGCGCCACAGAATTACGAGTCCTGCGCGCTATCCACCAGGCTACGAGGCCACACAGTTAACCATAACCAAACTGATTTTCTCAGCTTAATTCGCTGCTTCCGTCAAATTCACAATTGAGAAAATAGAGAGAATGGTGTTCTGCCTTTTTTTAGACGTCATGATTCATAGCATCGGCAGGAGTTTCAAATTCAGTGTGTATAGGAAGCCTACCAATGTGCGCAGGACTCGTAATTCTGTGGCTCGGGTTCGATTCCTGCACGAGGCAGAAACAAATAGGCAAAGTTTCTTTCACCCTGAATGCCCCTGTTACCTAGCAGTAAATAGGTACCTGGGTGTTAGTCAGCTGTCACGGGCTGCTTCCTGGGGGTGGCGGGGACACTAAAAAAAAAAAGCCCCGAAATCATCTCAAGATAACCTCAAGATGATGTGTGCTCGTATGTTCATTGTTACTCAAATCATCAAGTTCAGGTGAAGTGGGCCATATTTTCTGGCATGTTTCTCAGAGCCCTGAGAGTTTGCAGCCCGGATTTTTTTATGAAGAAATAATTAAAATATTTGAAATTGGGAAGAAGTTAAAATACCCAAAAATCGTTCTTAGATGTCGCATTTGGTCAATGAAAAAGAACGTTCTACTAATAAGTTCCAAAGTCTAAACCAGAACTAAAAAAATCGCTGGTTTTACCCTATTTTGATGAACTAGAAAATCTTGCCCCAGCCATAAAAACCTTAATATTAACCTAATGTTCAAAAATAATAATACAGTTAAATGCATGTTAATTAAGAACTCGCCCTCGGGGCTAGATTCATGAAGCAATTACATACTGTACTTACAAATGTTTTTCTTCTTAGCATCTTCGTAGGGGCTACATCAGTATTTAGGTAGGCATTTACATATAAAAATCTTCGTAAGTACACCGCCTTGCATTAAAGACGCTCTGGACCACTTGTAGCATTAAGTAAACTGGATATAACTCAATTTTTCTCTACTACACAACACAGAGGATCGATTTTATTATAAACAAACATTTTAGCTGGCGAGTTTCATCAAGACGGAGTCCTTCGTGTTAACAAGTAAATGTTACCAGCCTTAGTTCTAGGTAATGGACTAACACGGTCCATTACCACATGAGAAAATGGTTCCTCCGGACTACAATAAGCCTTAGAGGAGCTTTAGGTGGTATCTGGTTTGGCCAACTCTGGTGTCCTATGTCAATAAGTTGACACGGGACACAAGAATTATAATATGTGCCACATCGCTTTTCAGTTTGGGCCAGTAGAAATGCTTAAAGATTTTATGATAAGTACCCGCCAAACACACACCAAAACTACGACGTTGGTACAACGTTCGAACAAGTTTTAACACCTCCTAACCAGTTATAACAACCAATATAGCAAGTTGTAACAACGTTCTAATACGTCATAAACACGTTAAGCCAAGATGTAACAACTTTATTACAAGTTGTAACAAGCGGAAAATAGGGACAGTTTCGGTATGTGTTTCCAGGGTAATGTTAGTGCCTTGATGTCCCCCCATAGGATCATCATGAGCAGCTGCAAAAACCCTCTCTCTCTATAGCATGTAGGTAGCATTACCTGGTGTACTGTCTCCCACTCATTTGACCAGGGAGAACTCTGTGGTCTCCATTTTCTCATTAAAATCTGATCCTCGTAATAGTAACCAGTCACTGCATCTGCTATCTCATTCTTAGAGACTGCTACATCGTAACATTCTGCAAGACTGGGGTCAGCCTTTTGCAGTTCACTCAAGGTGGCTCCCATGTCTTGGTCAGATGTCATTGGCCGAGTCCCAACAGTTTTCTTTCCCCATCCTCACTATTCTCGGTAGGAGGTGATGGTAGGCTCTCCACTGTCCTTGGCCTCATCATCGATTCTGGCCATAAAAGTATCTGCAAAGTCCACCTTGCTTTCACCACTCGTAAA